GATGATGCATAAATCTCAATTTCAAAAAATTGACCCTTATGAAAAATTAGTTGGGTTTGGGTGCTCTTCAGGTTAGAGTTGTTAGGTTATATATATAGATCTACGTGACTACAAAACATCTCTAAATTCATGTAGGACTGTTGCATTGTTTTTACACTTTGGCTAATATGTAATATTGTGGTAACACTCCACTGTAAAATTAATTTCATTAACTCTCGTGAACTGACAGTAAAATGTTTAACAGCTCCGGGAATTAATTTAGAAATACACTGTTCTTCATTGATCTATATAATCTAAGTATTATAAAAAAGCTAACAATTTAAATGTTACCATGTAGACGTTAACATTAAACTAGGTTAGTAATATATGCTGTAAAATGATTAAATCATGTTGCCTGATGTGATAAATGGAACCTGAAAGTGTTACCAATGTAACTTATTGTCTTTTATCGCTGATGAACAGGGCTGCATTTAAAGGAAATTGAGTGATCAGAGGCTCTTGTTGATTTTAATTTCATAAACGCATAATTTGCGTTTGTTCTATTAATATATGAATGTTCTGTTGATCAGCTGACGATTCTCTTTAGACTGAAATACCTTGCAAAATGATTTTGAACCTCTTCAGTCTGTCTGATGTAAATGTGTCTTATACATCTTACATCTTGTGCCATCTCTCTGATTCTCTCCAGGTTGAGTTTACGTACCCTGCTCATGTGAGTGAGGGCAGCAGAGACCTGATAAACCGCTTGCTCAAACACAACCCCATGCACCGTCTCCCTATCCAGGGTGTCCTGGTGCACCCGTGGGTGCTGGAGAACTCCTGTAAGAAACCAACCACGCAGACCGAATCCATTCCTCAGACCTGAACTTGTGGAACAAAACAGACTGATGTCCGTAATTCATCTTGCTGATCTTTTCTGCCTCTCTTGGGCATGACTGAGTTGTATGTTGTTTTTACGTGTTGTGCTGTTCACACGCTACAATTTACATGCATTTGTAAATATGTAATTAAGCCACATTATAAAGTTTTAACTATTACTTGAAACAATAAATGTTTTTATTATTATAAGGATCTCAATAGAATTTTAATGTATTTAATTTGTTGTGTGTGTGTGTGTGGGGGGGGGGGATATTAAAACTTAAGATTTCAAGATCTGAATGCTGTTTCCTCTCAGTAGGTTCTGTCCTGGTGTTGCTTTATTGGTTTTATCTCCCTTTTAGCCGTTTGATAGACTTAGTTCAGTGGAAACCGCGTTCTGCTAATCATTTCTAGCAATTGTGTTGCTTGAAAACAGTCATACGGGTTTGGAGCGACAATGAGGGTGAGAAAACACAGTTCTGGCGTTTGCAAACAGCTTTAAACACTATTATTCTAAACTCTGGCGATTCTAGACACTTTACATTATCACTGCAGTCCATATGCAAAAAGCGCTCTCGTAGGAATCTTAATGTGAAGTCAGCAGTGTTTAGGGGCTTCAAAAAGTGTTTGTCTCTTTGTGAACTTAGTTCAAGTAGACATTTTCTGTGTGTGGAAAAACTCACGGACTCCGCTGTTGTTGTGATGTGCTTTTGTTGGATGTTTGTACAGTACTCTCGTCTCGGCAGTATTTCATGAAGCCACCAGATAGCGCTACAGTCTCAGTTTCTCAGGCTTTTCGTGGTCCAGTAATGAGAAAATGGCTCCTCTGGTTGAACTCGATTTCCCACAATCCAACACCACCGACATTTGCCACAACTCTCCACTCGCTTAATATAGAAACGGTCTGAAATTTCTTCTCTGACCGCAATGACGGTGCATAGTGTCATGCAGAATTATTTTGTGCCGATAAAAAAAATCTATACTACCTTTTTTTTTTTTTTTATTAATTATTTGACTATATAGACTTTAACTGTAGAGCTGTTTTGATGTTTTTTTCTTTTATGCTGTGTCCAGACGAGTGCATGCACGCAACCATATGCGAATGCGCATCTTTGTATTTAATTTTTTTCATATTCGCCTCAGTAACTGAGAAGCAGTCCGTCCAGATGTCTGCCCGTGAGCTCGCATGTTTACCTGCGGAATCACAGCCGAGAGCCTAAATCTGTCGCGCATTTTCTGCACGAGTGCACTTCATTCTGTTGCGCCGTATGAAACACGAATGACAAGTTGCATTTATCAGTTGCATTACAATTTCTTTCAACCCTACGGTCCATTTGAAGACTGTAATGATTCATATAAATGTCCATGCAATGCATGCAATTTTTCACATCGTGAAGCTGTCTATTTTTCCAACCTATATGTGCGCAGTCGACTGTAATGCATCAAAAAATACGGCTTTTATTTTTCTCTTCCGCAACTTCAGGAATGATCAGAAAATCGAAATATTGAAAATGCATTTGCTGTATAATATGTCTATTATAGCCTATTATGATATGAATATAATGTGTACCCATGCGCGTTTGGAATAAATCTCTGAGAGGTGGGACTCAACTGATTTATTGTTTTGTAATTTATTCAGTTTTGAAGGGAAAAGATGCACGTGTTTAATTTTTTCCATATCACACAAAACCAAAAAAAAACAGTTGTACAATAGGCTATAATTTCACGCGTTTCTTTATTCTCCAATATATTCATTTTCACGATATATGATAATGATTTTGTGATATACATTCCATCTTTTAGACCACAATAACACAACACATACGGTTTTTTAATAACATTTCCACAGCACCCATTGGATTGCACAAAATGAAAAAATGTCTTATGCAAGTCCCTTGATTTCGATCCAACCGAGGGGAACATGAACATTATTAATTGTTGGAAATTACCACATTTGATATCAGATAAACAACGCAATGCTCAAAATCGAAATTTAGCGATTTGATTTGGTGGGATGTTTTAACATCTTCCATAATTTCGTTTTCCTCTTCATCTTCAGCGACTTTCTTGTTCGTTATTCGATGTCTTGTAAAAATACGAGTCTCTTTGTATGATTTCTGCCAGAGAGCAATTGAAACGCAGCGTGTGAATAAAACCCTCGTTTTCTTCTGAATGTCTCTAATACTGCATGGACATCATACGATCAGAATGCATAGTTGAAGTACTTCTATTCACCGTCCAGTATGCTGCCTTCATTATTATTTTATATCTTGCCCTCTCCGATTTGGTTCAGTAAATGCAAACGATAATAATTAAGACTTAGGCTATAGGCTACGTGTCCTCAGATCGAATTAAGGAAAATCCATCCATTTATTTTAAACATACTCTATTGTGTTTATTGCCACGGCGTTAGTCCCTTGTAGTTAATTGGTTGTTTGTTGTTCTTAGTCGTGTATTGCAGGATCTCACAGCATTGCTTTGCTCAGCTGAATGTCTTGCACTCAGATGAAATGATTCCCGTGGAGTGGGGCCAAATCAAAGCTGAAATAAATTCTCTTGTAACCCATTTTCTCGCTTCACAACAAAAATATACGTTTGCTCTTGTCTTGTGTAACGCGCTGCTGTCCAAGGCGTTTCTCAGATTTGATTCTGAATGAACCTGCACTCTTAAAAATAAAGGTTCTTTATTGGCATCAATGGTTCTACGAAGAACCTTGAACATCCACGGAACCTTTCAAATGCAGAAAAGGTTCTTTAGATTTTTTTAAATGTTCTCCAAAATGGTTCTTTTAGGAACTGTTCACTGAAAGGTTCTTTGGGGAACCAAAAACGGCTCTTCTGCAAAAACACCCTTTTGGAACCTTTATTTTTAAGAGTGGCATGGGTTAAAAGCTTTTTATTATTTATGTATTTTTTTCTGGGGGAAACTTATCGGTTTGGTTATCAATATGTGGGATGCGTAACACTTATCACCGAACTACCACTGCTTGTTTTTTATGCTCACACTGTAATTCACTATGCAATGCCCCATGCATTCTGTTGTATTCCATTTTATTTCCATGCACAGTGCAGCTATACCCACACTCTTAAAAACAAAGGTGCTTAAATGGTTCTTCACAGTGATGCCATAGAAGAACCATTTTTGGTTCCACAAAGAGCCATCTCTTTATTATCTGAAGAACCTTCTTTCGCCAACAAAAAAAGCTTGAGAGGTTCTTCAGATGTTAAAAGTTCTTTATGGAACCATTTAGACAAAAAAGCTTCTTCTATGGCATCGTCAAGCACCTTTATTTTTAAGAGTGCATTTTGGTCTTGGTGTCACGTTTTTATGCTTTTACGGACTTAGGAAGTTCTCCAGAGGGAATGCGCCATCATCAGCTTCTACATTCGCTGCAGGTGTTGTGATGGAGCATTAGAAATGCAGCTGAATTCAGTCACGGACATTCCATTTGCTGTGAGCAAAGTCACGCTCACCTCATTGTGTCGTCATCATCAGGATGAATCAAATAGGCAGGGAGTCACGTCACGGACGTCCCTTTTGATATTAAGAGCTTGAACTGCGCACGATTAAATACGTGGGGTTTTATCGTTTGAATATGCATTTGTTGGCATTATCCAAAACACATTTTTGAGTTCTTTTTTTAACCATCGTTTTGTAGAGTGCATACATTTCGGAACGGATATTTTTAATCGTAACCTGTAAAAGGCACATTATGCTCTCCGGTTTTACGCACGTCGAAAAAAGACGGAATTGCTCATGCAAACCCCACAAAACGCCAGAATAGACATGCACATTGAATGGACTGCTTGAATGCTGTTTTATAAAGCTCAACTCGCTGATGAAGGTCCCTTAATATCAATCGGTTCCCCCGCGACACGACATTAGCACAAGAAAAATCTACGCCATTAAAGAAACGTTTTGCCTCACAGAGGACTAACCCTTTTAATATATGTATTGCAAACAGTTTTCACATAACATTTCCATATTGATCAATACTAAAAACTTTATAATGTTATTGTTTTTATATGCATCGCCGTGACGCGTAATGGCTCCTCACCTGGATCGCATTGGTCACGTTCCATCCTGCCTCCCAAGCAGTGATTCTTGGCTTGTCCGAGCCGCCTAAATCGGAGCAAAATCCGCCGTCTTTGGACGCTGAGGGCGGCGGACCCGTTCCATCCCTCTGGTAATGGCTGTCCCCTTCGACGGTCCCCTCGCCCCCCGTGTCCCCGCCGCCCTCTCCACCCATTCCCTCGTTTTTAAGGATGTCCATTTGAAGCCCCTGCCTGTGGTCATAGTCCAGATCATCGCAGGCGGCGAAGCCCAAAGCCTCTTCATCGGTGGCGGCCTGGAAGCCCAGTTTGGCGAACATCCCGCTCACCTTCGCCTGCGACTTATTGGTGACCGTGGTGGCCGCGTTGGACAGCTTGTTAGAGATCTTGCTTCTAATTACCGTAGCCATGATTGCTCTCCTAAACGCGACTGGTGTGAAAATTCCTCTTCAGATGTTTTTCTAGCTATATCGAATTTAGAGTGCGACCGGAGTTCTTTGTCTGCGCATCAACGGAGCGAGAAGATCGTGGTGACGCGTGTTCGTTATCTCCAGTTCTGCCTGGTGTTTTTGCTAATTCCGTGGTTCATGTCACTTTTAGACGTAGATGATGCCTGGCACCTGCATGCTGTTCGCTGGCCGGACTCTGATGCGCGCTGAGTGCGTTTAATGTCCGGTGCGTAAAGGAGAGCGCTCGCGGTTTTGCGCGGCTTTTCCGTTCTCTGTATCCGTGGCACGGCGTCGACTCCTGCGTTTCAGTGGCCGTCGCTGATGCCAATGCGGTACACGGGAGCTCGGGGGTGTTGAGAGAGAGGCACGTGTCACCGTCAGCCTGCCAATGCTAAGAGTCTCGCGCGTCTCCGGCTCCCAGTGCGCGCGCTACTCCGCACCGACAAAAAACGGTGTAAAGATTTGCTGCATTTCTAGGGGAGGTGCTTGCAGGACCCCATCCTCCTCTCCACTCTCATTATGCCCAATATACTCGGTCACAACACCCAATGGCATCCGGGGTCTCATAGTGTTGCATAACTTTACGTCTATATAAACCGTTTCCACGCATCGTACTAGGTCTTACATGGACACTAAAAGTGTTTTTGAAGTATTCTTCTTGTGTTTTCCTGTCGCATC